TAATCATGTTTTTAATTTATCGAATTAAAAAGAATACTTCACCGATCTTTCATTTAATCTTAATTCAAAACACTGGTGCATAAAATCATTTTGAATTGTGATCGCTTTCTTTGGCCTGTTCACGCAAAATTATTTCTCTATTTCGTTTTAATGTATTTTATTTAAATTGTAATTGAAAAGGGGTTTCGGCAAATAATTATAATTAGTGATGGAAGTCTTGTGATACGTAATGTACTATTATGTACGTTTTATTTTTACCATCACTCTTTTGTTTTTCCATTATTTTTTTTAATATTAATAAACATTGAACGTTAAAAAATACTTTAAAATATACTATTATTAACGTATTTGTAATAAACAGTTTACATCCAGCTTTGTCGCTTTGTGTCTAAAATTTTGTAGCCCAGTCCTCATTTACAAGCACGTGTCCGCAGATAGCAGCGGGTATATCGATTTGAAAATCCGTTGTGTACTCCGATAGTTACAAATGGAAAATTGGGTTTGAAATCATGTCGACTCCTTTCATATCATTCAATTTCACTCTATTTCAGCTTGTTTTAATCAATCGTAATCGCTTGTGCATTTATTCATTTCAAGTTTTATGCCATTTGATAGCGAAAAAAAAAAATACGAGCTAGGTTTACACCATTTTTTCCTGTATTTATCGAAGTGGTAATTGTTTTATGAATCTTAAACTACATGTACGCATGCATGAAAGTTGTAAGTGGAGTTAACGTTTCTAATTCACAGGGGGAAATCCAACATGAAATTAAGCACTTTTGAGTTTGCAGTTATTTGCTACTAAACTTAAAATGATATTGTACAGAATGGTATTATACTATTTCGTCCAATAAACAGAATATTTTACATGCCTGTACATGTACAATGTCAGTACGAATTTAAATTGCATCAAATTGGCTGCAAAGCAAAAAAATTCTTTCACACGCAAGGAAAGCACGTCAAGAAATTCAAAGCTGAAATGGTTTTTCAATTCTATTTCAGGCTGTTTTCAAAGCAAAATAAAAAATAATTTTACCGCATTTGCTCATAGATAAATTTATCGATGTTTAAAAAAAAATCATGTTCATTGATGTATAAGAAGAATTTATTGTCATCAAAATGAAGGTGTAGGCCTGTCCGAGCCTCGATACCCTGGATCTTGATTTTGTGATAATGCTCATGGTTTCTGCAGAGCAGGCTATGCTGCAAACCGCAGTGCAAAATAATAAAAAAATATCTTCATGATCTTTGTGTCATTTGTAGATGTAGAGCAAATTCAAAACAATTTTTACTAGAAGTTGAAAAACTCCTCATTTTTTTATTCACCGTAAACTTTAACCACATCATCATTATCCGGAAAATCAAGAGATTTCTTTTCAAATTTTACACACTCTCAGGCTGGGGAGTATCTGATGTAAACTCTTTTTATATGACCAAAAATTATCGATGATCATGAGATATTAATGACAATGAAATTAAAATATATTTCAACATTTAATATTAAGTTTTAGCAAGTTTTTAAAATATTTTACGCATGATTTTTACTTGTTATAATTTACGAATTATTTTATTGAAGTAATAAAAAAAAAGTCTCATTTCCCCATGTGCACTCTCTAACACAATCACAAAAAGATTGGCCGCTACCGCAGCCGATAATAATTTAATTACATGTTTTATATGTATGAACTTTTACATAGAAGAGCGGCCAAACATATACATTCAGAGCTTTCAGAATACGATTTTACAAAATTAGAAAATTCGTTATTGCCTATTTATCATAAAGTATGAATTAAATTCTTCCCTTAAGTATTGAATTCCTATGTATTTAACTAGGTACTTAAATTATCGATTCGCTCTGATATTTGGTTGTATAATGATTACAATGTATATAAACGTCCATCTGGTCAGTCATTGTTGCTTGACGACGTCTTGTTTTCTCCTCTCACATTGGTAGCGCGTATGAACAGCGGTATGAACACAAGCTTGTAAACAAAATAAACGGCAATTCACAAAAAAAGGAAAACCAGAAGAAAAAAAGTGTCTGTGTAGGTGAAAAACACAACTCATTAATTTGTTTTTGAACAATTTTTTTTCTTTTCCCATGCATTTACTGTACAAAAAAGATCACTAGAACCTTTGGTTATATTAAAAGAAAGGTGTTGAACCTTCAAATTTAATATCCAACAGCTATTATACAGCCTATCAAATATATCACGGCGTCAATAAAAGAATTATTTAGATATGTCAAAAAATACTAATTTCATTCTAAGAAAAGCCACGCAGCTGTATACAGACATTCCAAAATAATGTTTCATGGACCGACAGGTTGTTAAATTCCTCTCATCACTATAAGTACCCCATCCCTTAAAATGAATACAATGTCTTCCTTCTAAGCAGAGAATGTCAGTCGGTTGATTTGTTTTTGTACATGCATGTATACATGTAGTTTAGGGGTTGAATTCTGAGACTGAAAATTACGACCTATTTTTATGTAAACCAATAATCATACATGACATGTTATGCCCTGCCATGAATATGGCCAAGGCATTTGGTATTTGAACGTCTTCCATCCTTCCTACTTTTTCCTTCCGTCTCTCCTTTTGTCACACTTTGCCTTTAGCTCAGTTCAAAGCTTAGTTTCAAACAAACTATCCAAGATATTTTTATCAATCTTTATATACTGATAGAAATTATTAAAGTTATACAATTGCATTAACATTTTTTTAAGCTTGACTTTATATACATGTATATACCTCACTTTTCTTAAATTAGTGTTTAGCTCAGTTTTAAACATACCATTCAAAATGATGTTATCAAACTTCACATGTTGATGCATACTGATGAGAGCTATTTGATGGCATCACCATTTTTGAACTTGGCCTTTCTTTTGACCTTGACCTAACTCTTTTTATCTCAATTTTAGCTCTAACGAGAGTTATTATTGCTTAGCACAAGGTCATTTGGAAAGATCAAGGTCACACGTACTAGTATTCCTTTACAGTCTTTTTCCTAGCGAAACATTGTAAGTTGCTTCTCTTACAAGGTTTTTTACTCGTATATCTTTAGTATGTGGCTTTTGACCTCGACTGAAGGTTACGTCTTCTAGTCCGTAGCTCCAACGGAAGACCTATTCGTTGCTTTGCAACGAGCTCGGCTCTAGTTAACAGTTATATTTATTTGGCATCCAGGGTCAGCCAAAATATCCCCCATACCGAGACCTTGAGATTATCTTCTCCGATGGACCACGTAAACATGTCCTATGTGTACCCCCTCTAACGATGACCTCTGTCAGGGCACGGAACTCTTCAGTGATCTCCTTAAATTGACCAGGCATTACCAGAACAGACCTGTTGCTTTGAAAAAAAATATTTTCTATATCGAACTTTTCGGTTCAAGATTAGGGTCAAGGTCAGTTCTAGAGGAAACTGCGCTGTCAGCAACTTGTAGAAATCTTTTAACCTTATCATATTAAATCCAAAATTGACGGAAAAGGATCTGAACCACATTGCGTAATGAGCAGACATTTAGTTGTCGGTGAACGATTGATGCTGGTTTTATTAGTCAGCTTTTTTTTTCATTGACTGAGTATACCTTGCTGTTGCAGTCAGTCTAAAGTGCACAATTAATTATTCTGATAATATAATTATTACATGTACCTAATGTGAGGAAAATTGATAGTTAGAAATATACCTTAAGATGTTTGATGGTTTTAAAATGCTTCAAAGTATGATTTGAAGACATTACCCTACTCTTCTTTTCTTTTTTTTTATTTGCATAACACCCATCGCTAGATTTCACTATCATTAAACTTGTGATGGATTGGTGCTAAATTTGTAGATTAAGATAAACAATATTCTTTATTTAAATGAATCAGCAAGATAAATTTTTTGTTAAACAAAAAGATGTTTTTTTCTCTTTAACTGGGCTTCAAAAATATTTTTTATCTACATTTCAATTGGCAATGCATTTTATTCAGTTATTCAAGAAAATAATTTCGAGTATTTTTTTTTTTAATATTTTAATCAAATTACGTTTATGCGTAATGGTAATTGATTACAATTTATTGGTTCCATCAAATTCAGATTTTTGATTAACTATTTTAAAACAAAATACTTTGCCCATATTGAGCCTATTATGCAAATTTTAATTTGAATTGTACATTATCACAGGTATGCATGCCAAAGTTTATGCATGCCAAAGTATAACATTTGACAATATTTGAGTTTGATTTTTATATCAATTTTACTTTAAAATTTAAAAAACTATTTCTAACATCCCATATAAAACTCTTTAATTCTATTTAAAACACATATAAATAAAAACCCTGATATATTGAGGCCAAGTATAAATGATGACAATTTGTACATTTATTTATAATCCTACAAAATTTATCAAATTATGAGACACAAATGAATGGAATCTTTGTTGAATGAACTATAATACAAAAAAAGTTAAAATAAACAGGAAATGCTGCAATAAATCTCCAATTTACGATAAAGTTTGATTGCAAATAGCATCTGTAGAATGTTCAAACATTCTGAGAAGCCTGAAAACTCAGACTCTTGTCAACACTTAGGTTCAATAAGGAACCCGAGACAGGAAAGTAGCGCCCAGCGAATAGACACGCTTCTGTTTTTACGGCTCCTAGCTCTTCTGAGGCGTTACTTTCACTCTTTTACGCCGATTCAAATGGAGTTTTTTTTTCTGCTGGGTGATGACAAATTCGTTTGATTTTCATCACGGCAGGCAATAAAAAACCCCGCAGGATGAAGTAACTAGAGATGCAATAACGCTAAGTCAACTTTCTGACGTTTATGGCTCCAATCAAAAAAAGAGGAGGTTTAGATGTAATCAACTTTCATTTGAAAAAATTTATGTACAATATGTACACATTTCTATAACACATTAGTGTTTACATTATATTGCTATCTCTTATAAAAACTGCGAGCCAGTTCAGCGGGGTTCATATCATTGTATCCTATATAAACCGTCGGCCCTGTGTTGAGGTTTCATTACTTTTGATTTACACCGCTTGGCGACAGCGTTTGAAGACGATTTAACTTTTAAAAACCTATGTAAACTCATCAAATCTCTATCAAAACTTTTAACCTTTTGGGAAGATAGATCTTTATTTTTGCCGTTAAATATTGGCTTCCGCCTAAAATTCGCCGTAGATCCTGTGAAATAATTGGAATTAGTGCCGAGTATCATTATCTGTCGCTATCATTTAAAGAATCTTCCCCCAGTGTCCGTTATCATGGGACAGATGATAACCCCGGTATGTCTGCCTCCCGCAGAGATGTTTATACAGCCCCTAACAGTCGCCATATAAATGTACCCCGCATGGGATGTCCGGACCAGAAGCTACCAAGTCAGCAACCAGCAAACATATAGTGCAGTCCAAACACTTACCTAAAAGGATTTTATTATTTGCCTTCAGCATTTCTACAATTATAAGGTATGTTATATTTTTCTTATATTAAACTGAAAATGTTTTTCTTTTTAATTGCTTTCTTTTTCTTTTTAAAAAAAATAAATTCAAATTTATATTGTATTTTTTATCATGGAGAAAAAAAAATATAAGCATAATTTTATATATATTTTTTTTTTTTAAAAATACCCCATGAAGGTTATGTTAATTTTCTTGTTTTTACTTTTATTCTTTTCATTTTTTCCCTGGAATTAATATCAAGAAAACGGTTAAGGTTTTAATTCATTCATTTTTATTTTCTTGTTAAAATAAGTAAAGTGAAAATTAAATTTCTAGTATTGTTTATGATTGAAGAATTCTCCTTAAGGTAAAACTGTCTTAATAGCATAAATAAGAGAGCAATCATCTCTTTTAGATTAACGTGACAGACAGCTATCAAAAGGTTAACCTATTCAATATGGAAGAAAACAAAAGTTCTTGATAAGAAGAGGGGAAACAATTAAGTGTTTTGTTTTTGAAGACAGTCAAAGGGAAATGTAATTGAATAAGAGATCGGCGGCTTCCACACAAATTGTTGTATAGCAATGATCTAAGATATACGATTTCAATGTAATGACCGGAACTTGTAAGCGCTTTCTCCTCCCTTAATTAACTTATAAATACTAGAAAATCGTGTGAAAATCGTCTTATACACTTAGTGTATAATTGCTCATTCAGAGATGTAGGTAGGAAAATATTTGCGTGACATATCTGCCAAGATGCTTTAGAATCTTAATGAAACGGTGAATTGATATTGCTTATATTTAGTTTATATGCACATTGTATGTAAATCATGTAAATGAAAGTAACATATAATTTTGAATTTATTTTCAGAATGGTGGAGTTTATCTACTTTGTATGCCTGATCGGAGTGACAAACAAGATCTTTGCTTTACCAGTACCCTCCACAGATCTCGGAGACAGCCAGTATTTCGGCGAATCTACTGATGTCGAGGATGTGTCCGTGCCGGTGCCATTCCTCGTTAACTATGAGAACTTGATAAATTCTGATGAGGACTTGAGTTACCCCGTCTTGCCTCTACCCCAGAATCCACCCGAATGGCTGATGACGCTGATTCACAGGGTCATGTCCAAGTCGTCTGATTTTTCCAACAGACAAAAGCGTGGGTATCTCGACTACTCGGACCCTGCCCTCCAAGCCCTTTTACACGCCTTTTACAAAACATATGGCGGTGATGGAAAGATGGGTATTCGTTATGGACGCTCAGTTCAATCTTTACGAAGGAGTGTTCCTGTTCAACACAGAATTTTCCACAATTCGTTTTTGAAACAAATGAAAGCAGACTCTCATTCCAGAGGTCGCTACCGAAGGACCTCCTACAGACAAGCCGAATTGCAAAGAATTCTTAAACTATTTTATTCAAGGGGGAAATATTATGGAAAGTTTGGTATAAAAACTGGTTGAAGAGTGTGTTGTATACCTGTAGATGGTATTAACTTTACCTCAAAGGCAGCAGACTTAAAAGGTGTGACTCGCTGAAGTTACGGACCTGTGGGAAGGCACTTCGCGATGTCTGCAATTAACTCTAAGAAACAATGAGCTGAGGAATCTCTCCGTTCTGTATATAATGTATATAGTGTATTTATTTATATCGTTTGTAAATATTGTATATATTGTGCAATAATGAAAATTTTAGATAAATCGTTTCAAAACAGTTGAAAAGTATAATATTGGTTTTTATTTTGGAGTCAGTTATTATTACATGTGTGATTGTTGCCCATTTCCATCTGTATGTTTTTCGTCCGTTTTGATGGGCCTTGAAAAAAAAACTTTTACTTTTCCCAAAAATAATTTTAATTGAACCACACGATTTATTATTACAAGAATGTTTTTGAATTTTGTTTGATAATTAATATGTTTAATTCAAGTTTTTATGTTTTAGGATTTGTAACATTTCCAAAAGAACTATTTTAGCTAAAGTAAATTCAAATACGAATTTCAAAGTGACTTTATTCAGATAGAGGGATTTTTTTTATGGCATTAACCTTTCTCTATTTGCACGCAAACGATTTATGAAAAATAGGGCAATTTTATTCCAGAAGACCTAAATTGTATTTGCACGCTTCCCTCCATTTTATTCAAATTAAAATCGAACGAAATGAACAATCTATACTGATGTATATAATTACACTCGGGTGATTGATGAGAAATATTGGATGTAACGATCACTGCAAAACATTATTTGTACAAGAAAACTTTCATGCAAGAAACCGCTTAAGGCAATATTATTGGTTGCCTAATTGTTAATTTTTTACCTGATGGCATGCATTTTAGCAATAAAATATCATTCAAAAAACATTTAAGTGCTGCTGATCTCTGGCTCGCCTTCACTGATATGTTCCTCTGATTACCGTGTAGCTACCAAAGCGATCGTTTACAATAAAGCTTTTAAAGGGTTTCAGTTTTATGATGTCATTACAGAAATTAAGTGTATCAAATTGAGCTCTTCTTGTAAAAGCAATGAGAAAACTGTAATATTGTCATTTTGTTCAATGTCTCGTAGGTTAACAATATTCAAAGATCATTCAATGATAGCGATTTTCCAAAAGAAAAGAGCATATAAAGGAACGCAAGAGAGGGGTAAAAACCTCACAGAATACAAATGATGTATATTGAAAACCTTGGCAATCGCAAACATTTAAAGAAAATAATCTGTTTAAATAATACCTAGCAGAAAGCTGGTAGATGATATTTCATATATTTGATATGAAAAATAGTTATGTTTCAAAAATAAAAATACTTAAAATAAAATCTATTTTATTTTCTTTGTCAAGGTTACATATTTTAAAAATCAAATTGATTTCGTGTATATTTTAATATAAAAAATACTTAATCTATAGTATATTTCTTTCCTTTGCAAAAATTACGTTGATTCTGAAAATGAGAAATTGAAAACCTCTGACCTAAAAATTAAAATTAGAATGCCGTTTGACGGAGTGGATGCCTTGAATTGCTAAGATACGGAATTTCTTGAATATGGGGAGCATGTACCGTTTCCAAAAATTATTGAACATTATTGTATTATAAGGACAGATGAAACTAAGTTCTTCGAAAAATGAGGAAAATGACAACGAAAGTCAAGCAAGTTTATTTGGGTACAATGAATAAATTTACCATGCAACAATTAATTTTTCATTCTCAGTTTCACACAGTAATATATTTTAAGTGAAGAAAAATTGTATAGATTTAGAAGGACGACAGAAAAAGGAAGAAATGTGAATAAAACAATTCTTTTTAATACATTTTCTGAATATTTTAGAAATTTGATACATGCATCAATTACAAGGAAAATTAGTCCAAAATACATATTAATCCAAGCATCGATTTTTTTGGTTGGTTTATGTGTCCCTACTACTGTACATGCAGGTTTCTTGAAACTCAAGAGCGATGGTATTCAAGTCTTATTCCTTGCCTGGCTAAAAAAAAGCAACAACGCGACACTTAAGAGAGATAGATAGATACGTGAACCATGGACTCGACAGTTTTTTTTTTTTGCTTCTGCTCGTTGAAGAATTATTAACGCGGTGTCCGTGAATATTCTACATTTCCCACTTTTTAAGCGAATCATAGTTTCTTCTACCCTATAAAACAACTTTCAATTAAAAAATCTACTTAAGGAAATGCTACATTTATTTATTTCAAAGGTTAGCCCTAATACAGCAGCTATAGTATCCTATATAACTTCATCAGCTGTTCATTCAGCATTGTTTCCTGTTGTATGGTCATCTGGAGAAGTGTGGAACACAAATCTCTCGGCCATTTTCACTTATTAGTCAACGGCATTCATGTTCCTCCGTGTCAAAAATATCATCTGAAGACTTTATGCTTAATCCAACTCCGTATTTTTTAAATAGGTATAGTTATAAAGGTTTCACATCTGAGCATGATGGGAAATCATACATGAAGGAGATGGAGATAACGAACAGTATTCAATAGCAAAGTCCATAAAACAATACAAAATAGGAGCAGAGCAAACACGGACCTCCGAAACATCAGAGGTGGAATCAGGTGCCTTGGAGGAGTGAGCATCCCCTGCTGACCGGTCACACCCGCCGTGTGCTACTTGTCATGATCGGAAAATAACGGAAAAACCCGTCGTCAATTCATTGTATAAATAATGGACTAACAATTAGTATGAAAAACGTCAGTCAGCATTTGTCTCAATGATAAATTGTATTTGCTGACAAGGTCAGTGTATAGAATTTACGAAATGAGGACTTTAAACGAGACTGTTGATATTCCTGTTTCATCAACATGTTTGTCAATAATTTACCTCGTTTTAGAAATTGTTCATACGTACAGCATGTAAGCTCTTAAAAAAACAAACTTATTGATTCTTGTTTAAGCCTAAATTGCATAAACCAATGAGAAAACAAAAGACAAAAGCAAACAATTAAGCCAAAGTTGCAAGCTATCAAAACAGATCATACGATACATTTTGTTACCTAGTCTTTCAAATAAATATTATGCAACACAATTCCATTTCATGATCTTAGAAATCTAATATATATATACATGTATGCCTGCACTTTTCACACAAACTATACAACATTTTCCTTAGAAAAGTAACCTTTTTAAATACGTAAAATTGCATTTAATAAATCAAAAAAAAAAAAAAATAAATAAATAAATAAAAATAAATAAAAAATAAAATAAATTAAAAAAAAAAATGAAATAAGTTAATGAAATCTTGATAGTTCTATCAATTATCTTTATCCCTAATCGCACTGTGAAGAATGAAAAATCAGATTTTTTTAAAGCAACTATAATGTTACATTTTTTTAAAAAAAGAAATAGAATGATAATATCTTCCACAACTGTTGTAATCTGGAGAAATTCAAATCATGTAAAAACGATCTGCAATACTACAAAAACCCCATGTCTGGTTAACTTTTGTCAGCTATACGCCAATAAAGCGTCAAACAATTGGATTATCAGAGGAGTTCGTGGTGCACTAAGACTCGAGTTGAGAAATTAAACATATGACAATCGATACTGATTCCTTCTGTCAATTTTTAATCGGTAGAATCTTCTTTTTTACACTTTAACTGAAGTTTCCATTGATGCCAGACGCGTATTATAATATAAAATATGATACATATACACGTATTTCAATCTCTTTAATCGCATACTACTATTGAACACTTATTTTCTTTAGTACAATATTCTCTGATGTTAATCACATTGTTGTGAATTGTGAATTTGAAAATAATTTACCAAAACTTACTCTTGATGTACGATAAATAAAGCTAAGAAGTACTTGTATTTTTTCCTGTAACATGTGCTTCTGAATTACAAAGGTACCCTAGTACACTTTCTTATGTATCTTATAGCACCTTGATGTTTGTTAAGTACATGTATGAAGTGTTCTAACGGTAATTTTCGGTCATTATTTGATGTGGTATGTGGGAAATTATGATACCCCTGTTTCGCAGTGGGGCCATCACAAAGTAACCTTGTTGGGATAATGGGGATAAAGCGATAATCTTTGTAATGTCTGCAAATCTAGACATTAAAAATGAAGAAGAAACTGCTGTGTTCTACGTTTTTCATAATATGAAACTTCATAATCTTTAAAAGATAATTGATAAATTGAAAAACCATCACACTCGACGTAATTCTTTTATCTTCGAAATAAAATGAACGCAGCTTTGCTGTGATATCATTGTTGATCAAATAAATAAAAATTTACATCTGCACTTCGAAAAGTTCCACGCCCGCAATCAAACGAAAGTGTAGTCTTTGTTTAACGGAGATATTACAAACAATAAAAAGAGGAGAGAAAATGCATGTTTTAAGACAAAGAACCGAATTTTAACGACTTGCTTTGTAATGACCTTGACACTTTATCAAAACATCAAAAGGTGAACAATCTTCAGTGCAGCTAACCTATATATTCAATAATTGGTAAGAGAAAAAATTAATAGATGTTTATCGAATTTACGTAAAACACATTGGATTACTATGCATCCTCCTTGTAACAACCCCCTCTCATCTTTTAATTGCTAGCAGATCGCATGCGCCTTGGAAAATGATCACTTTTTATTGTGGAGGTGTAACCGAGCAATTACAAATTGATCCATCAAAGAAGAAATTACAGATTACTAGTCGAACGCGCACAGCAGTGGGGCACGTGACGTCATTTTGAACAGACACAAAAGGCGCTTTTATGTTTTGGATTTGTGTAGATTTGATAACGGTTTAAATGCTTTGAGCAAATATAAGAGGGAAAAAGAATCAATAATTACTCGTAATAAACTGAAAGATGAAAAATTAAACCACATCGATCCAGCTGTACTCTATTACACTTAAGTTAAATAAATAAAATGAAAAAAACAACAACAAATGACTGTCTTTCGGCTACATCTATTATATAATTTAATTTTCTGTTTACCTATTTCTTTTGTACTAATATTAATATCTTAAGTTTATTACAGTGTCAGAACCTTCAAAAAGGGAAGGAAATGTACAGCATAAACAAAATAAACTATTCTTTTCTGCCTTCTATTTTCCTTAATGCTCAAGATACTGGAACCAACATCAAAGTTCAGTTCAAATCATTATGACAAATACCGGGAAATGTACAGAAAATATCCCGAGAAAAGACACATTAGAGACATAAGATTTCAGACTTAAAAAAGTGACATGGACCATAGATTTAAATATTTTTAACGAAGTGATGCAAGTAAAGATATGAATTAAGTTCCTTAAAAATGCTTTTAAAAACAGATAATTGATTTTGTTCAAGGATGCCAACTTAGGTAATATGTGAGTACTTTTCTTCAAATCCTATCGATACCTACATGTATATGTATTTGTTTGGAAAATGTCTTTATGTGTAGATCAAGGACAGAACGTCAAAAATGTTGGTTCCCAAAGGAAGATCTTGTAACAAAGAATATGAAAAGTTAGGACTTCGATTAAAGTTTTTTTTTTTAAAAAAAGGTAGAACTTACTCCAAGATCAAGTTAAAATTCTGGGTACTCGAGGAACGATCTGGTTACATGGAATACATTTAAAAAAATATAAAAGCCCTACAATAATCGTTTAAAGTTATAGCAAAGGTTAAAGTACAATTTTGCAGAAGTGATCTCTTATATAGTATAACCAGCAGAGTATTTCTTGCATTATTCATCAACCGTCATCCTATATCTTATCCACCTCCTAATCTTTTAGAGTCGTATCTATAGGCATCATTAGCGATCTTTCGACAGTAAGTCAACATGGTTGTAGAAAGTTCAAAACAAGTGCGTTTGGGTCTTGAGAGAAGGGTAAGGAGATGGATACAGGTTGGTAGAAGAATGTATCTAGTATTGAGGACTGAAGGTACATGTAGTTTATTGACCAATGTTGGAAAGTAGCGAAATACCCCCCCCCCCCCCAACCGTGCGCAGAAAATTTTGCGCGGTATTTTGCACTTTATTTGCATCATGTGATCTGTTGTGTTATCATCAAAGACTATATTTAATTATTTATACAAAACTTCACGCTTCAGCTCTGCAGCTTGCCGTCTGTGTAGCAAAGCAGTAAGAGTGTTGTCGCGAAGGAGGTGATCTTAAATAGCTAATTCGAACCCAAAACCAGACCTTATAAACCGAGATCCCGTGTCGCAGCGATGTTTGCACGGCAGAGATCTCTCACTGCTCAATTTCTATCCATGTCAAGTATAAGTCTAAATTTACAGCTTTCCACTGATAATTGGAGACATCCTCAAATTCATAAGAACCATGAAATAAACCATCAAAAACAATTCATCTGAGTGAAAAACAGTCTTCCGCCCCTTTAAATTTACAAATTAATGTACATCAGCAATCGGTCTAAGTAATTGTGCGGCATGCTTAAAAATGTAAAATGTGTGTAAGCATGTTGTTCAATTTATTGTTTGTGTGTTGTAAGAATTTTTCTCTTGAATTTATTTATCTTGCTGGAGGAGTACTGCAAATTTAGAACTTTACTCGTCACTTTTAGCCTTTGAGTTGTGAGGAATATTTTCCACGCTAGCACCCACCGCGACAAGGGACCTCAGTTTTTACGGTCTCATCCAAAAGTCCAGTCTCCACATCACGTATAGGGATTCAAACCCGCGACTTCAGAATCAACTCCTAACTTCGCTACTCTATGGCAATTCTGCATGCTGAAATGTATATGCTGTCCAAGATGTCAGTCTGCAAATGTTGAATTCCTCACTGAGAAGTTAGATAACAAGATTACTTTTTGTTCTATTTCAACAGTATTATTAACACAGAAGAAAGTTTCGGTAAGGGTAAATGAGGTTTTCCGTAGTTTGCGACATAGTGGTTGTTTGTACATTTGTTGTTCTTTGTGAGTAGAGCTATTCTTTATATTGATATGGAATAATCTATTGACAGTAACGCCTACGACAGACCAAACTGATTGTTAATACTTACGGTACTCTCAGCACACGGGACTATAACATACATATCAGTGATAAGGAGTCAGTCATTGACCTAGAATAACAGTCCATAGATCACCCCGGACCACTACCAATGGCGCCACTCATTGTCTGGTTAAGTTTTCTGGGCGCAGTTACTGCACAGTCTTGCCAGGTCCATTCTGATAGTAAGTAGACAACCCTCTATCTGATGCCTCCAGAAAATACTCCAAACTCACCAATGGCATGATAAAAATGTACTTAAAAAATAAACAATACTGACAACGTTAATAATCTAGAAGAAACCCCCTTCTCAGTTAAGCGAAATTGTATGGTACTTTTTGTGGGTCTTTAAAGGTATAAAAAGAAAATTTGATCAAATTTTGTTAGTTTTCAAGTATTACATTTTTCAAAAGTGCAATTTTCAAGCATTTAAGTATTTTCATACATTTCCAAACTAAAGCAAATTTTATTACAGGAGTTTTAATTAAAATATCCATGAAATTATTTCAAACAATGGAGCAAAATCGGTTAAATAACCGACTTACCTTAAAGTGCAACATGCTTTCAAAAAGTCTGCTTCGTATGCAAACTTAATTTGATCAGCATTGTAGTTTATTATCTCACAATATATAGATAATTGTTTGAATAAAGTGACTTTTTATTTTATTTAACTTTGATGCACTTTCATATTACTTCCAAGGTTTTAAATTAAGACAATTTACTGTGAAGATGGGATATTACATTTGTACTTGAGCTTTCCAAAAAAAAAAAAAAAAAATAAATAAATAAAAATAAAAATAAATAAATATAAAGAAGCAACAACCAATTACTAAAAATCAATTTTATTTCTGTAAAACAGCAACAAACAATTTTCCATATTTTACAAAATAATTCAATATGTGATGCTGTTTTGTAACACATTGACATATTTATATCAAAGAGGCAAATACCCGTAATTTACCTGCAATTTACCATGTCATTTTATTACGAAGAATAATAAATTTATAACCTTTTGGTTTAAAATAGCTCTAAAATATAACTATAAAAATATCTTCTAGTAAAATATAGCTATAAAACATTCATCTATGAAATCCAACTTTTAATATATCACTCCAAAAAGAACGCTTTAATGCGATACTCGACCTGACATTTTGCATGTGATGCTTGATCATTTTAAAAAGTTAAGTCAAATATTATGTTCGATGTCAAAAGGTACATGTAAGTTACCTTCGCATTCCTTGAAACTTTAAACAGATTAAAGATAGAAACCAAATATAGAAGCGATATATTTTGTATGTAAATAAATTATGGAATGAGACTTCTCGTATATAAAAAATAGATCAGAAGTCTATTGAAGGTCTAAATCATAAAAAAAATGAGATGATGAAAAAAAAACCATGCGAGAAGCAGTAAATATGCTTTTGGTCCATGCATGTGCTCACCACTCACAGTCAAGATGATAAACGAATCAACATTATGAATTTTTCAAAGTAGGCGAAAGTTCACGATGAAGATAATTTTTATTTATATCAGGTGCTTTCCCCCAACATCCAAGAAAAGAGTGCAGGTAAAAAAAGTCATGAATGTTGCTCTGATTTTCAGATTATAACAATATTTTTCTTTTAGATTTAAAGAAAACCATTTTTTTCATAACAATGTATAATGTCAATCAATTTTTATTTAAATTTTATACTTAAAATACTTTGAATACATGTATAGTTAAAATGATAAAATGTATCATTTTTTTCACTTGTCTTTATATTTAACAGCTTTTGAGGCAGACTTTTGCCAGATGAAGGCTGCAGTTGATGTTCTTAAAGGTGACACGCAGCGGGTCTCTAATAATGAAGTAGAACTCTCCAAACTATGGCACACCATTCACGCAGAAACGAAGAGTATTTACGACAACCGTAAAATGATTGATGTCATAAAAAGAAATTTGACTGATCTGGTAAGTGGAATACTAGAAAAACTATCGATTTCTCAGTCAGAGTTCACAAATTTTATAGAAAACTCGTATATTAAGTAAATTAATTTGCTTGTAAACACAAGATATTGATTATGCTTGACATGCAATTTCTTTAAAATGTTTCCATAAAAATGCAATGATGCGAAAACAAGTATTCCTATTAATAAATGAAATGATTGTGAAGTGTAATACTTAAATGTCAAAATTGTGGTCAACATAATGACACAGAATGTACAGAGCAGTCAATCAAAATAATAAACGGATAAACTAATGTACGAGTTGGATTTACTAGAAACACCAATGAATATTGCTATAAAGGGAAAGGAATACTTCAGTTTCAGACGAAAATTAAATTCTCGTGCACATAGAGAAAGGGGTACATAGCAGGTTTTGATAAATATATGAAATAAGTGGAGATTACGAACAGTATTCGAGCTCAAAAGTCCATTCAACATTACAAAATAGGACAGGAGCAAAAACTAACCTCAAACACATCAGAGGTGGGATCAGGTGTCATGGAGGACTGAGCACCCCTGCCTACCTGTCACACCCGCCGTGTACTCTGTATATTAAACATCCTCTATCTATGTGAAAATTTCTGTTAAGCAAAACATATTTGGCAAAGTATAAGTGTTCCTCTATAAAATTTTTGTAATAATTTGATAAAATATATGGAAATATTGAAAAGAATTTTAAGTGTAAAAGTTCACACGAACCTTTGAAGCATCAGAGGTGGATCAGATGCCATGGAGGAACAAGCATTCCCTATCATAGCCGCCATGTGCTCCTTGTCATATTCGAAAAAAAAAACGTAAATCAATGAGTTAACAAGTGATTTGATGCAAAGCATCGAATCGACTGCGAAAATGTATCATTTTAGTATTTTTAAAGAATTTTCACAAAAAGGAATCCATAGGAAAAATTCAAATTAAAAAATGCATGAACATGCATGGTACATTTTTTGAAATTTGAATTTCAGTGTGATCAAAGGAAATGAATAAATTCGTGGATATTGAATAGCATGGTATCATCATAGAATTATTGAATCAAATACAACTCCTACAAGTATCAAAAATGCCAGATTTTTAATGAATTTGAAGTAAACATTGAATTAAAAAGAAAAAATATTGAAATTGAAATTTAAATTGAAATAAAATTGACTTCATAAGAAAAGGATTGAAATGGATATTTTATTTAGATTTTATAATTATACTCAATAAAACAGACTTCTTGTCTAAAAAGGTTTTGAATTTACTAGGGGGAGGTAAATGTAACTTTTACATCGTGATAGTTCTATCAAAATATATGTGCAGTGCAAAAGAAAAAGTTAAGATAAAATATAAAGCGAATTAAAAAAAAACTTTTTATTCATGACTTTTTTGTTTGTTATCAATTAAAAATTGCATGTATTTCATTGAGGCAATGAAAAAATAACGCTTCCATTCACCATGTTCTGACACAACCACAAATAGACCGGCCGTTCCTGCGACCGATAATAATGAGCTAACAATTACATGTAGTTTGAAAAAAACGTAGTTCCTGACAATTTTATTGTATCGAATATACACATTTAAGAAATGATGACTTCCTAACGAGACTGTTGGTACTCTTGTTTCATCAACTTGTTTGTCAATAACATATACCTCGTTTAAAAATTGTGTAAGCGTACAGCATTCTTTAGCGTATCGATACAACTGAGAGATATAAATCCCTTCTGCAGGTGATTAATGTTTATTTCTGCATAAGAAAGGGAAGTCGACCTTTGAAAAGATAAAGTCATCGATTGTATCATAAAGCATCGTTGTAAAATTACCATTCACGTCTTTTTCTAGTGCAATATCCAAATATGAAACATGTATGTCAGACTCCGTGGTATCTTTGTACAAAAATGAATATTTCTTGTCAGCACAGGAATGGCAGAAAAAAAATAAACACTGTGAAGTCATCAGAATTTATAGGGCCAACTTTTGTGGATTGCTTAGATTATACAGATTCTGTGGGACATATTTCGTGTATTCCGCCTTATTTACCTAAGAAAATATGGCCTTGAAACCCTGATATTTTCATTTGTGAAGGATGTAAATTCGTGAAATTAGTGAATCCACGAATTTTCACGAATATTAAGCCATCACGAAAAGTAATAATTCCACAGTAATATGTAAATCAAGATTAGGCATTTTTTCTGCAACAGTTACAACAAAAATTCCCATACAACCATCCAAATAAAAAAAGTGAATTGTTTAAATAAGTGCTATTGGGTGTAGTAGACTTATGAAAAATATTCTACCCTTTTCTTTTATAGACAGAAATACAAAATCATCATAAAACACTCTGTACATTACAGATTTATAAGAAATGCTTGGCGCTACTAGCTAAGACCAGTTTGCTGAAACCGTACTTTTTTCACGACTAATTCGCTTCTAAGATAAAGTTTCTTGACGGTTTTTAATTTTTTGTTTTGAATTTTAATAAAAAATATCTTGATGAGAAGTTTATAGGGAAAAAGATCCTAATTATTATGAACTCAGTGTTCCTTGCATTAGCTTAATAAGCAGCAATATGATGTTCTAAACATTTGGTTCTTAACCAATCTCAAAAATGATTAAAGATTAAAATCTAGGTTTTTAAGTAATTTTTGTCGGATTATATGCCAAGGTGGTTTCTTTTGCTTTGTTGGCCTGACGTTTTGTATATAGGCTAAGCCTTTATTTCGTTTAATCAGCATTATCTAATTATCACAGAGGTTTTGTTGAGCATTTAGCAGCAAGAAGTCCATCCAAACAAGTGAAATAATTGTCTGCTTCTAAAGTGTAACTTAATGAATTGATTAAACGAAATCTGCACAGAGAGAGAGAGAGAGAGAGAGAGAGAGAGAAAGAGAGGAGAGAGAGAGAGAGAGAGAGATGTGGAAAAGCTGCTTTAAAGGAAGAATTTTTTTCTCTCAACACTTTTGCGAATATGAATTCATTAAATTGGTTTGAATCGAAATGATATCCTGAACTTGAACTATTTTCATTATTCTTATCTTTATATCTTTATACATGCACATTTTAGTAGCTGAAAATTTTCAATTATAATAGGTTTAATGAGAAAAAAGGATTTAATAAGATCTATACTTAAATAATGAGCTGATTTGAAAAAAAAAGATTTTGTTTAAAAAAAAAAGTAAAATGAAAAAATAAATAAACAGTACAATTCTTACTGTCAATGCAAACTCCAAGTTCTTTTTTAAATTTTTTTTATGAATAAGTGGTCAATAATTCAAAATAAAAGAAACAATGGACAGTTTCTGAATATTGCTATAGATGTAAATTCTTTAGCTAATTTATCTTTATCTGTAACTTACGTTTATTTTGTCGATATTTAATGTGATTTATTCTTGGTAAAATGCTAGTACTAAAAGGTACATAATTTGATATCTTACTGCTCTTAATAAACAGTATAAGGAGAGTCAGATCGCCAGATAACTGTTTGTAGATCATTATTAGGAAAAGGAAACCGACTGTGATGAAAGTTAAGCACTGTCACACCTTTACAGCAAATTTAGGCTTCCTGTAGAAAACAGGATTCAGATTTTGATAAGCAAAATTGTGTAAAAAATTGATAAAAATCTCACAGGACGCTAAATCTCGTACATCTCTAGACGTTGATGTGGATTTTAATATCCCTGCTTTATTAGTCTAGGTCACTTTGAAAATTCTGAAGTACATGTGTATAATTTTTGCTTTTGAACGAGTGATGCTGCATAAATTCATTTGAAAAATCATAATGATAACAATAAACTTATATTTAAAGACAAATGTAGAGATTGCATCAGATTAAATACATGTTAGACCTGTCAACAAAGCTTCGTACCAGACGTACCTAGACGTTAACGTAAGCACTGATTTTGAATAGCATAGAAAAAAAAAGAGATTTTAAACCTATGGCAGAATGGATTATATGGAGATAACGAACAGTATTTATGCTTTAAAGTCCTTTAAACAATACAAACCAGGAGCAGAGCAGACACGGGCCTCCGAAACACCGAGATCGAGGAGAGAGCATTCCCTATCGAATGGTCACACCCGCCCTGTGCTTCTTGTCGTGATCAGGAAATAATGGTAAATCTGTGGACAATTCAGTGTGTAAATAATGGCCTAATAATAAAGATGAAAAACTTCAGTCGGCGTTTGATTTAATAATAGATTGTATTTGCTGGCAAGTCTTTTATCGACTATAAAACTTACAAAATGATGACTTTAAACGAGGCTGCTGGCATTCTTGTTTCATCAACTGCTGTCGGTAACTTTTTCTTTTAGAAATTATTCGTACACAGAGAATGCTCTTGCGAATTGAATCAACTGATATATAAACCTATGTGCAGGTGTTGAAGGTATATTCCTGCATATTTGAGGTTGACAATTGAAAAGTTAAAGACATCACGTTTATCATAAAGTTTTATTGTTAGATTACCATTAACGTCTTTTCTTACTAAAATATCCCAATACAGGGTATGAAACAGATGTGTCAGACTACTTAATTGCCTTCTCACAAAAATGTTTAAAAATATGAATAGACTGGGAATTTATGAAAGAAATTTGCAACTGAAATAAGTAAATTAAATTTGTCAAATTATATTGTCCTTTAATTATCATACACACAACGAATCTCATGTTTGTAATAAAAGTTAAAAATACTAATGAAAGTGCAATAAAGTATTTAAAATGGTTTAAAATGCATCCAAGAGCGTCATCATACTTTCAATATTTCTAGTACAAATTAATTAAATTTATTATTTATCAAAAACAATATATCTTTTGATGACGATTTAGACATTAAAAAAGGGGTATAAATAACGGATAGCTAAAAATAAATAGGTCAATCACTTGTTTAGATGTTATCATTGATAAATTATAAATAAAGCACTTGAAATCTAAATATAACATGCGCTTTCTCATGTTTCACTTTTACTGTCGTCTTATGTCTATTCACAAATACTACGAGCGCGAAAGTAGAGCATTGATAAGATTTATAATCTGAATCAAATTTTTTATTTGCATGATTTCCAATCACAAATAATGTAAGGACAGTTTTCGGTGAATTAAAAATGGAAAAATAAAGTTTAAACAAACTATTTCTCTTTAAAACTATTCGTAATTTGTAAATGATTTAGCGAAAAATTAATTTAAATTTCTTAGACAAACATTTTTGACATCTAAGTTCTTTAATCTTAGAAAGAACGTACTTCAACGGGATTTAACAAACTCTAAATAGGTTTTCCTATAAATTTTCAAGCTTGACTACTTTTAATTCTCATATTGCATGTTATTGAATGTATCTCTTTTTTTCTTCTTTTTTGTTGCATGTTTTCTACAATTCTTATTTAATGAATGTAATCTTAGTGTTTATTAACCTTGACCACAATTCGGGGTAAAGGGCGCAATACACATATGAAATATTAGTGAACAGGAGAACTAGTGGTTCTTAATGAACCCCCCCAAAATACGGTTTAATTCGTAAAATTCAAAAAAAAAAAAATAATAATAATAAAATAAAAAATAAAAAAAACAACAACAGGAAATTAAAAATGCATACAACATGTACAATTTGAAGGTAAAAAATCAAATAGAATATTCTACGAGCATAAGCACATCATTTAATTCAAAGATTTTCATTTTTTTTTTGTATTCATAAAAAGGAATAAAACACTCAAAATATCAGAGTTCACTTATAAGTTCTTTATTTTATTTTATAGTATTTATTTATTAACAATATTTATCATTTGACTTTATAATAATGTGTCGAGTGAAACCAAATTAATTTGTCGCCACCTATTTTTATGACTCCGCATCATTAGTGCATCAGGGAAGATCAAAGGAATTGCGCGTATTAATTTTCTCAGATTCTAAAACATGAAAATGAAAAGCTATCATTTATTCAGTACAGCTGTAGGTGTTTATCTCTATACACATCTTCTGTGTCTTTGAAGGATTTTTTAATTTCTTAAAAGTTTTCTTTGAAAATCATTTCATAGAGCATCGCACCAAATACCAGCCCAGATGTAATGGAAAAGTTGCATAACATTACATCGACTTTGGACGATAAAATGAAGAACCTCACCGACACTGTGACAGCTCTCGAATTCCGGATGAGGCAATTAGAAAGTACTTACTGAAACTAATTACTGTAACAAGAGTCTATTAATTTCAAAACAGTAATTAATTCATAATCAATAGTTCAAGAATTATTAAATTTTTTATTATTCACATGCCTTTTTGTAAGATTATAGGCACCACTGCAAGTGGTTTAGTTATTATTTTGTTTATCTTAATTTTACAAACAGTAAAGTGCAGCAGCTGTGGCACGCGAGGTCATCCGTGTGATTTACAACCTTGTGAAAATGGCGGTAAATATAAGAAATCTGATCGAGTGGACATACATGTATGTGTGTTATATAAATTAATTAACTGTTTTCAGAAAATTTATTACTTCTGCAATATTGTGCGACATGTACATGTATAAAGTATTTCTTTTAGGCATTTATTTTTAACTAGCTTGTACATTGACGAAAAACTATTATTTCAAGGGAGGTCATCATGACATTTTCATTTGTTCTTTTTTTTTTTTCAAGGAAAGTGTGTGGAGTTAGGAAAAGATTTTTATTGCGCATGCCCAATAGGATTCGCGGGAAAACTTTGTGACGTAACAGATCATTGTGTACCATCACCCTGTTTGAACAATGGAACATGCGTGAATAATGTTGTTTCTCATACATGCCTTTGTCCTCTTCCCTATACTGGCCCCAACTGTACAATCGAGCTGACCGTCTGTGATACAAATCCATGTGCAAGGGGCATGTGTGTTCCTGACGGAAGGAACTTCAAGTGTCTGTGTGACCCAGGTTTCTACGGCGATCTATGCAACAGCGTAGTCGACTTAAGTCTTATCACTACAGCATCTTCAACTTTACCATCAAAAAGTACAAATTCAACATTACCCCCCAAAAGCACAACTTCAACATTACCATCAAAAAGTACACTCTCAACAATCAGTTCTACGCCATTATCAGCAAAGAACACGACACAGTCTCCAACAGCAAGCACAACACAAAATTCTACAAAATTGTCGTCACAGGCCCCTACCTCCCCTTCATCACTTACACCAGGAACAAATATTACTACTGCAACCGATCCCTGTGCTACCCCGTCTGAATTTGTAGAATTATTAAATGTATACATGTATACTGAAGGAAATAAAATACATGTATGCGTATGCATATAAAGCGCGAGGGGTTAGTTTTATAACCTCATGTGTTTCATTTCACATCCCCCAACAAATAAAACCATCAACCACGCTCTTTATGTCTTATATGCAGAAGTCACAGTACTGTATATATTCATGTTTTCAAACCTTTTGATATTTGTTGCATTCAAGACATATGTCAACCAATATCTCAACCAATTTGATTTGGTATAAAATTACATTGCATAAGCTCAAAATCTTCTTGTATCGCCCGGAAATGATTAACACACAGACAGTATTTGTGATTCTTTATGCACTCAGGAAAAAGGGTAAATAAACAGAATTCTTTAACTTGTATTACTTTTTCTTTCCAAGCAAATACGTTTCCATTTCTGAAAATAGCACTATTAAGAAAAGTAACCACTGCCACACCGCGTCCTTGTAATTAACAACTTGATCTTTTGCTTCAGATTCGATTTAAATATCCTTTTTAATCTGTAAAAATAAGTTTTGCGATTCTCCTTGAAATTCTGTTGGTCAGTACACACATTTTCTGTAGCAACAACATGTATTCAGTTTATCAGAATTTCGGAGAGATTTAAAGACCTGATTTTAATGAGACTGATATGCTTCTTATTACTTTTAATTATTTTAAAAGCACTTATACTTAGCCACTCAAGTGCTTACTTCTTAACGTTCTCGAACCTTTGACCTTTTTACATGTATTTCAATTTTAACTTCATTATAATCAAGAAATCGTAAGCTATTTTCTAATTTATGTTGTAAATGTTACAAAGTTCATCAGCGCATAAACGTTGAAGAATGACCATGAAAATCGATACTTAAGAAAGAAGTTTTGAAATCATAAACATCATATTGAATATTGAACGGTTAAATCACATGTTACTGTCAAGGATCCCAAAGATAAGTAATTTAGAGGCCTTAATCCTGAAGTGTAACCTTATGTCAAGGTTGTTACACAGCAGCCACAAATTTAATGTCTTGGCGATGATGAGTGCCTAAATAAGTCGAAGCACAGACACGATCTTTGGCAGCTTACGGATATATAATTGGCGAGTACAGTAGCCCGTTCTAATTTAATGGGATGGGTAGTTACAATTGAATAGCGATATGGTATTTTTGTTTTAAGAAAAAAGTGGTAAAAAGGTAAAGAACAGTGGTGGATCTAATAAAATATCTACAAACAAGACAAGTTGGAATCAGGTTCATATGATGAGTTAAAGCGTCTTCTGTGAACAGAACACACCCGCTGAGAGTCCTATCTTTTGATCAGTTAGGTGGAATATTCTAACAAAAGGTATGATAGAATATGTTCTTGACTATCGAATAAGTTGGAAGACGTTAACACCATATGCAGGTAATAATGTAATCTACATGAATATTACAAGGGAAGTTGCCACTGGTAAAGCTGGAGTAATCTTATTTGTCCTACAATGTAGGAGTTAGTCGGTCCTTATCTTTATCCATATATTGAGTAGATGCGACAACCTGTTTTAACATTTATATCAAGTCGACGTTTGAATTGAAGGAATCTTTGTTAATTGATTATATATGTATGTGAATGTGTTGTGGGCCACAGTATTCTAATGAATTTTGAAAAAAAATGTTTTATATACATATGTTAGTTTTGAATATTATTAAGATTCCAAAGAATTAATTTGAATTACCATATCTATATTGGATTCCGAAACTTCATAAAAATCGTTACAAACAAAGATACATAGCAAGTTCCAGTAAATGCTCAACCTAGCCTCTTTTTCTTACTCCTCACTAAGATATTAAGAGTAGTGAAAGAGAAACTTCAAGAATACTGTGCAACAATATATTCAAGATGTGGTGTAAATCAGATGTGGATACATAAATATTCCAAGGAACTTTTGGACAATTCGGAATCACCAGGTTTTACCAAAATCAACAGCATAAAAACTTATGACTTTTCAACTTTATACACAACCATTCGACACCATAAATTAAATTTCAGGCTTTTTGATATCATTGACAGCTGCTTTTTTTTTTTAAAAAAAAAATAAGAATGGAACTCGCAAATTTACTTACCTTGTCATTGGTCATTTGCAAAATTATTTTGTTTAAAACATTCTGATTGTACACACAAGTGCTCTGAAGTTGACATCAAAAAGATGCTCGAGTTTCTGATTGACAATATCTATGTGGTTTTTTGAGACCAGGTCTTCTAACAATTTATTGGAATACCCATGGATTCCAATTGCGCCTCGTTATTAGCAGACCTATTTTTGTATTCATTTGAAGCAGAATTTGTCAAAAATACATGAAAAGAAGGAAACGCTTGCATGGTCTTCAAGTCAACATTTAGATATATCGACGACCTATATTATCAATTAACAATGGTAACTTCCATTTTTATGTCGATACGATATATCCCAGTGACCTTGAGATAAAAGATACATAGAGTCAGACATATCTGTATATTTGGATATTTTAATTGAAAAAGACGTTAATGATAATCTAACAACCGAGCTGTGTGATAAACGAGATGACTTTAACTTTACAATCTTCAACTTCCCTTAATTATGCAGTAATAAACCTTCATCACCTGCATATGGAGTTTATATATCTTAGTTGATTTGATGCAAGAGCATGCTCTACGTATGAACAATTTCTAAAATGAGGAAAATTATTGACAAACAAGTTGATGAAACAAGAATATAAACATTCTCGTTCAAAGTCATCATTTCGTAAGTTCTATAGTCGATACAATGATTTTTTTCCAACAAAACAGAAGTTATCATTGATTCAAATGCTGACTAACGTGTTTCATACTTATTGTTAGTCCATTATTTATATACTGAATTGACGACGGATTTTTTCCGTTATTTCCCGATCATGACAAGGAGCACCAGGTGGGTGTGACTGGTCAGCAGGAGATGCTCACTCCTCCATCGTACCTCATCCCACCTCTGGAGGTCCATGTGTGCTCTGCTCCTATTTTGCATTAATTTTGTTTTATGATGAAACGCCTAGTATCTGAAGACTACATTGTGGTTGTCAAAGAGGAATTTCATCATCTTTTAAATATCAATTGAAGAGTATTTAGAATAAAAATTAGAGTGATATTTAACCCCCTTCCCCGCAGTAACGCATTTTAACGCATATACCATTTCCTATTTCTGACGCAAAATCACGCATTTACCGTTTCCCCACAATCACGCATTTTCACGCACTTTAAAAAGTTCATTAAATCTTCAATTTATTGCCAAATTCCAACTTTTTCATACTTGCTTAATCTCACAAAATAGGAAAAATTATTTTCTAATTAAAATATTACGTCATGATATTATTTACGCTAAACTGTAGAGAAACTTGTACTCTGCTAGAAAGTGCTTGCGGGGAAATAGTAACGTAATATTTCTATGACGTGAGGATTCATTTTAATTTGCATTACAATTTAGTAAGTTGAAAAGTGTTAACATACTGTATACCGTTTTTTTTTCGCCTCGGGATATTTTTGTTTTGCACTTGTGAACAATTATGTCACGTTCTTAATTCGCCCAGTCATTGTTCTGTTTAAGAAATTATCAGATATTCTTTGAATTCGCACAGTTTTAAAATTGCCCAATCACGATCAGAAAGGGGCGAAAATAAAACAAGGGCAAAAATTTTCCTGTATACAGAAGTAATTTTGTTAATGACCAATCTGTTACATGAATTTTCTAATAAACTCCCTGCAATATACATTTCTCTACATTTGTAATATGTCCAGTTTTGTTAGTAATTGTATAAGTCAGCAGATCTGCAATGACATCTGGGATTCACTGACTCTCTTTTATTATTTGATAAAATTACTTTACCAGATTGCTAAGACTTGAGGATGTAAAAGATGAAAATAAAACTGTTCGTGAACAGGGTAAAATGCGGACCTATGGAAACACAAAAAGGAATTAGTAACTTATAGAATATACCAAGTCCTTGAATACAAATTTTATGTGAGGTTTCATCCATTTAACTGTAAAATTCTGTAAAACTCTACATGTGTGCTGGGGCAAGAGAGATAACCATTTGTTATAATTGCTTAGCTCGTTCAATCCGTAAAACCAGCGTACAAGGTTAAGAAAGTAGTACAATGCAAAGTGCCCAAGAAATGTGAATTTCAGGTCTGATAATAAAACTGATAGTGTAATGAAATAACTTGATGAATTAGCTCTTGTAGATGAAGACCACTATCTTAAAATTTCTTGTGATAAAAAGTTGCAATCAATGCAATCCTGAAAATATTTTGAAACAATTATTAAACTGGTTTAAAATCTCGGAGTGGTCTTTAGTTATCTAAATGATTAATAATTATTATCGTCCAATGAAATTCTTTTCAAACATTTAAAAGAAAAAAGAAATGAAAAAAACCAACATATTATCAAGTTGCTTTTAAAATAGGCAATTTTTGGTTAAATCCGGCCTCTTCTTGGTCTTCCAGATCCTTGAAATCTCTGAGAATGAGAACGGCGTTGATTGTCTATCAACAAGGATTCTAAATGATCTTTTTGATCCTGTAATTCTTCGAGGGCCCGCAACAGGGCGTTGTTTTGGTCCCTTAACTGATGAGAAGTCTTTTCGGCGTCCGCCTGAATTTTCATGACATACTGATTATGTTCACTGCCAATTTCTTGTAATTTCCGTTGCATTAATTCCATAATGACTCTGTCACCCTGAGCGTCTTCTTGTAATTTTTGAATTTTCTTAAGATAGATATTTGAGTTGTTTTATTGTTGTTTTAACTTCTTTTTAAGTTCCGCATTTTCGTTTTGTAATTTTCCGCCTTCATTTTCAGCTGCTATTAATTGAATTACCATACCTTTTCTCTCTTCATTGGACGTAAGTAGTTGATTTTTAAGCTTTTTTAGCTCAGTTCGTAGGGAACCTGATGTGTCACACAAAGAACGGAATTGGTTGTCTCGAAGAGAACTGAAAGGCAATTCTCGCAGAATTCGTTTATTTTCCAGATACTTGCATAGTCGTTTTATGTCCCGCGTCTTTTTCTTGATAGCAACCGGTCCTTTATTATCACTTTTAGGTTTCGATTCTTTAATCCTCGTGAAGCACATTCTAGAAAAATGTCCAATTCTGTGACATTTGTAGCACTTCTGATTAAATGCAAAACATGAAACGTTAGGATGAACGTTTCCGCACCTTCCGCACACTGGATACTGACATGAAAGAAAGTTGAACTTTTTCTGTCTCCACTGCGGTCGGAAAGAATAATCCATTGCTGTCCTCATACGTCTACTTCATCTGTATCTATACTGTCAATTCTGGGGAAACTCGCTATTTCGCTCTTGTAGAGGTCCAGGATCTGACTACTACAATGTATATGTAGCAGCCCCGGGTGTCGTTACCCTTAGGTTTCTCACACCAAGTTTTACGGGTTGATTTCGTCCGTCTATAACTGATTCTGGTTCAACCGTGAGCTTTCCTCTTATTGTTGAACCCAGATTCTTTAAAAACTCAAGACACAAACACGAGTTACAAATTTTGTACTTTTATATAGAATCAGCGTGGAATAAACTTTTACATGAGTTTGGGATATATCAGTACCGAAGGTCTGATTCCAACTGACTATAATTTTTCACAACAAAACATACATACTGAACAAAGACAGAGTAAAATAAAAGGATTAACAAAAGGTATATAGAAATCAAGTATCAAACAATTATTGAGCGAATGGTGACATTTTAGCAGTATGTATATAATAGAATTAAAGATGAAAGATTAAGTGTCAATAAATATAAACAGATGTCAATTAGGGGATTAAGTGTCCATCTCTGGCTATGCCTCGGGTGGGATTAAGGCTGTGCGGAATTTATAAAATTTATCACATTTGTCGAAATATATGAATAGTTTTTATAACAATTAACACAAAGTCCGAAAAGTTAATTTTCACATTAATTTATATTAAGTCCGAAAATGGCGTATTTTACACCGTAACACATGCTCCTATTAATTGCTATCACTTCTGGATTAACTCTTAACAATAGATGCCAGAATAAGTGAGAAACTCTTCGGCAAGTTAAATCAAACTCTAGGTAATAGGGGACGCTATCCTTGTGAGGCTCCGTTAGGGATATCAATTAAAATCTATTAATGACAATTGTAATTAAATATAATTATCCCCCTTGAGTGACCTCTCAAAGGATAGGTTGAAGGTTTAAGTTTGTTATCCCGTCTCCCTCCCGTTACTTACGCTCGGGACACGAGACAATAAACACTGTATAACCTCAACCTTGTCATATTTTAAAGGTCAGTATTGAAACTTTTACTTATTTTATATTTTTATCAAATATTTAGCATTCTTAGTTATGAATTCAGTTTTATTCTATATTAAGAGTTAGAATTATCATTTATCAATTATAGTTAGGATACATATTTATTGTAAAAGATTAATTATTAGTCATCACATTATTAGGTATAAATTCCTTTAAAAAGTTAAGCTAACTAAGTCAGGGAATAAATATCGTACTTCGTCGCATTATTATTAAAGTTAATTATACTGTTCTATTCCCTTCTACAATATTTTGTTCAATGTTATTTTGTTAAAATGATGTCACTTGTTAAATTGTATCAGACGCCATAACTTTTGTAATAATTGTAGCACCGGAAATGTAACCGGAAGTAAGTTTTCAATATGGCCGCCAATATTTAATGGCGGACCACTGTATTGTATCTTTAGTATAAATTTAAGTACTTGATCATTTAATTCAATATAAATATTTCATGTTTTGTACATTAATATCAATCAATAACATCTTGTAAATTAATTGATCTTTATTATGTTGTAATATACTTACTTACGCTCGGGACACGAGACAATAAACACTGTATAACCTCAACCTTGTCATATTTTAAAGGTCGGGCCAACAAGGAATATCCAAAGGGCCAAGGACAAAGGTGTACTAGCGTAAGGCAATCCAGAGCTAATTCCCTGGCGGCTGAAAGCTCGCCGTAATACGTGCTACTACATATACTTTGTAGTAGTCAGATCCTGGACCTTTACAGAAGCTAAACAGCGAGTTTCCCCAGAATTGACAATGCAGATACAGATGAAGCAGACGTATTAGGACAGCAATGGAGTATTCTTTCCGACCGCAGTGGAGACAGAAAAAGTTTTACTTTCCTTCATGTCAGCATCCAGTGTGCGGAAGGTGTGGAAATGTGCATCCAAACGTTTTGTGTTATGCGTTCAACCAGAAGTGCTACCGATGTCACAGAATTGGACATTATTCAAGGACGTGTTTTACACAGATAAAGAAAGCAGCACCAAAACTCGTAGATGAAGGACCAGTCCCAAGCAAAAGGAAAGCTCGAGATAGGAAAAGACTGTGCAAGTATCTTGAAAACAAACGAATTATGCGAGAATTACCATTCAGTTCTCTTCGAGACAATCATTTTCGTTCAATATGTGATACATCGTGTACTCTACGAGCTGAGCTGAAAAATGTTAAAATCCAGCTATGCGTGTCAAATAAAGAGAATAAGAATATGGTGATCAAATTATCAAAAGCGCAATGTGAAATCGAAAAACTTGAAAATCAAAATATGGTTATGAAAAAGAAGATGCAAGAACAATCAAACAATTCTAATGATAACATATTTCGTGAGAAAATTCGAAAACTGAAAGAAGATGCCCAGGCGGACAAAGTCCTTATGGACTTAATGCAGAGGAAATTAAACAACATCGGAAAGGACTACAGTCAATACGTAGTGAAAATTCAAGAAGAAGCTGAGCAGACAGCAAAACAATTAAGGGAGGAAAACAACGCCCTGCTACAGACCATCCGATTATTTAAGGATGAAAGGGAACATCTGCTAGCCGAGTTTGTAGAAAATAAACAATATCATCCACGCAGATATCAGGGAAGACAAAGAAGAGGCCGGTTTTATTGAAAAAAAAAATCAAAACACGAGGACGTGTTTTACGCGAAGGCGGAGCATGTGTTACGGTGTAAAATACAACATTTTCGGACTTATTATAAAATACTTTGTAAATTAACTTTTCGGACTTTGTGTAAATTGTTGTCAAAACTTTTCTTATATTTCGGCAAATGTGATAATTATATAAATTCCACACAGCCTTAATCCCACCCGAGGCATATTCAGAGATGGACAGTTAATCCCTTAATTGACTTCTATTTATATTTATTGACACTTAATCTTTCATCTTTAATTCTGTTATATACATGCCGCTAAAATGTCACCATTCGCTCAATAATTGTTTGATACTTGATTTCTATATACCTTTTGTTAATCCTTTTATTTTACTCGCTCTTTGTTCAGTATGTTTGATTTGTTGTTGAAAATATAGTCAGTTGGAATCAGACCTTCGGTGCTGATAGTTCCCAAGCTCATGTAAAAGTTTATTCCATGCTAATTCCTTATATAAAACTACAAAATTGTAACTCGTGTTTGTGTCTTGGGGTTTTAAAGAATCTGGGTTCAACAATAAGAGGAAAGCTCACGGTTGAACCAGAACTAGTGTTGACGAACGAAATTGTTCCCGTAAAACAAGCCAAAATTTCATTGATATCTTGTCACAAAAAAAATGTCCAAAAATGGTCAGGCCTGCGACAGCTTTTTGTGAAATTTTTAACATTCTATTTTTTCATAGATTTGTGAAATGATTAACAATTGATGTTGGAAATAAGACTATCCTGATAAAAACCTTGCTTTGACCAGTTCGTGGTCATGATTGATGATCAATAAATAAAAATGAAAAAAAGTAGTGTTGATAAATTATTCGAGAAGTGGTGTAAATAAGATGTGGATGCTTGAAGATTCCAAGTAAGCTTTGGAAAATTTTATATCACAAAATTTACTAAATTTACAGCATCAAAACTTTTAAAATAATTATACACAAAAATACCCCACGATAAATTAAAGTCCAGGCTATTTGGCATCAAGACAGCTGCTTTTTCAATAAAAAATTAAACTCGCAAATTTACTTACATTGTCATTGGTCATTTGTAATTTTTTTTAAAATTCTGATTGTACACTCAAGTAAACTTTGTCAGCAAAAACAAGTTATCATTAAGTCAAATGCTGACCAAAGTTTCTCATAATAATTGTTAGTGCTAGACCATTATTTACCAATAATGTCAGGCAGCACAGTGACTGAGTGCGACGGGTCGGCGTGGAATACTCTCTCAATGGCACCTGGTCCTACCTCTGATGTTTTGGAGGTCTGTACTTGCTCTGCTTTAATTTTGCATCGTTGAATAGACTTTTGAGGAACTTGAATACTTTTCGTTATTTTCATGTATTTTATTTCAAAAACTATATAGAATATAAGGAGATAACGAACAAGTTTTGCTTTTAAAATACTTTAAGCTAGTTTCTTTGACATAAATAGAATTTATTTAAAAAGAGAAATTGTACGAGGGTCATTCAAAAAATTCGTAGACAATGCTTCTCATCGTCATATAATTATTACAATATTATAGATTAACACATTTTCGTAAACATAAACATTTATTTTGTTTAAGTGTGAAGTTTCATTCATTTTGATTAAATTGAACTCATGTTAGCCAAAATTTAAACCAACATGTTTTGTTACCACGGAGCACGGTTAACCAACATTGTAACGTCAAAGACAAAATTATAGTAATTTTCTTATTTTCAAACAAGGTTTGTAGCGTCTTCTCCATTCAAAAAACATATCCGTAACACTTAACACCTAGTTTGCGAACAATTGTACAAATATAGCTTGAATAAGAATGTCATTGTTTTCAAATTCTTTAATTTACCATGTAACTCTATTAATTCTGCAACAGTGAAGCACACATCACGTTCAGTGACGTTCCTAACTCTTTCGACAATATTTTTAACTTTAACCTGTCTCTTTGCAGACAATCCACCGTCAGATTCAAACTCGCTACTACTCAAAAATTGTATTTTCCATTTAATACAAATACACAGATTATTTTGGATACAGATCCTGGTTTATACGGATTTTTTTTAGCGTATAGAAGAATTTTCCCGAATGCACAGTACAATTTATTGATACTTGCTGCTCCGTGACGTCCTCTAACGTCATGATTTTTGGTTTTTTAAAATCAAGTCTATATGTATTAAGAAACTGATATCTTTTAAATGGAGCGAAATATTACATAACCTGATTTCATTTTAATTAATTCAGCAATACTTTATTCAAACATGTAAATTTTATTTCGTTTCAGCTCCATTTATTAGAGGTATTGCTATAAATACTATAAAGTAAAAATTAATAATTACTCAATTTTGACGGTGCTCCGTGACCCAATTTTTGCTGTTCTAAATCCTTGGTAATTTTAATAAATTTGAAGATACATTCCAATTGTTTTACTCAAATTATTTGAATCTGTTGTTCAAATATTTGTACCAAATTTGGATATAATATGACATTAAATAAAAAAGTTACGACAAAAGTCTACGAAGTTTTTGAATGACCCTCGTATGTCAATTTTACTTTGCTTTAAATTTCAAGGATTGATTTTAACATTTACAAAAAAAAAATTAATTGGAATCAATAATTTAATACCCTTTCAAATTAAACTCTTCAAACCAGAATTGAAAAAAAAAAATAGAAAAAGGAAGAATGAAAAGGGTAATTTCTTTCATATATACTAAATCAAGGTATATCAGATATTCTTATACACTTTTAAATTCTTTTTTTTTTCGTAATTGTCATATAGAATTTTAAAATATTGTTTTGGCAACAAAACATTTTTTCTGTTGCACTTTTGATATGGGGATAATTTCTTCAGCATCAGCTATGAGTTACTGGTTTTGTTTTTGTTTTGAAAAATAAAACAAGGCATCGGAAAGGTTTTATATTTTGCCTTTGATTATCCACTATTACTACAATCAGGACTATGACGATCCTACAGAGGAACCCTTTTACCTCAAATGGATTGGGTTTGGGTGATAACTAATTGCCAATAAAACTGTCTTCGCCATTATTATGATTGTTTCTGCTTAACGCCGAATTGCCAGTATTTCAGGGAAGTTTTCTAAGAGTTGTATCCCGTAACCAGTTTTGTTAATGATGGTGATGAATGTAAGATGTAAACCATGGTAATCATGCTCATAAGCAATGCATATCAGGAGCAGTGCAAACATGAACCTCAAAAACATCCAAGGAGGGATCTGGTGTCATGGAATAATAAGCATTGTGTGTAGATCAGTCACTTCTGCCGTGTGACCCTTGTCTTGATCAGGAAACGGGAAAAATCCGTTTATAATTCGAATATAGCGGCCTAACGATTTGCATGCAAAACATCAACCAACATTTGACTCATTAACAGAATGCATGTGCTGACAATGTCATTATATCGACCATAGAACTTTGGAAATGTTGATATGAATATCATGTTGATGTTCTTGACTGGAGATGTACAATTTTCCTACAGGTGATATTAAGTGGAGAATAGTCTTTCAAAATCCGTCGATATTGCTTTCTTGTCGATGTTATATATTTGTTGTGTTATAGATATGTAAAGTAAGCTACTTGTAACTGGCTACGACAAGTAGGTAAAGTTTCCTACTAGTGGACATTTGCGAAATAGCGTACAGCGAACAGCGGACTTCGGACTTCAGACATTTAAAGGCGGACTTATCTGAGGGAGCGGTTTAAAAAATTGAAAAATATAAAGTTATAACAAATTATCTGAAAATGTATAAGCCTCTGATATCTATGAAAAAATTAAATCGAAGAATTTTGAAATTTGTATTTTGACTGGTTTAATTTGAAAGTTTTCAAAGAATTCATTCGTGAACATTAAACTGTCTCGAAATAACATATTTTCTGTATGCATTATTAAATTGAAAAGTATCAAATATGAACTACAAACAACAACAATCTCAGAAAATGAATTGTACAGAGTTACATTCCAACTTCCTCGTTTAATTTGTTTCTAATTTGCAAACTGAAGGTACATGTACAACTTCCGATCAATGTGATACACTGTATATAAACCTTATTAAATAAGGGATTTTTACGCCCTGTATGCACAAATTTGGGTCATATATTTCTTGCATTATACTTTTCAATTTCCATTTGCTGGACCATTTGTCGTTTGAAAATGAACTGAGTAGAAAGCATGAATTTTGTCAAAACTTTAATTTAACATTTTACGGTATAAAACTTATACTAAATTAGCCTATTCCCTAAATTTTTTTTTTCGTTAATAAACCAAAAAGGAAAATATTCTAAACCCGAAAATTCCATTCTCAGGGAGGGGAGTGTATTTAGGAAAGGGGGTGTGTATGTTAATTTCCATCTTTTAGATACATTTGCATATTAAGATAATTTCACTGCCTATACAAGTACTATATCAAAAAGTGTGTGCTTGTGAGAGGGTGGGATCAACTGGCTTTTTAATTAACGTATTGTACCCCAATTTTATTAAGCCAAAGTAGAGTTTGAGTTCTGATACTAAGTCTGAATATAAGCTCTGCTTATTGAAATGCGAGTTCCGATTGAAAAGAGACTGAATGAAACATTAAAGTTATTCAAGTGTTCTTTATTTCCTATTTATAAATGTCGCAGAAGTACGTTGTTTATTAGTGACCATAATATCAAATGCTATTGCATTATTAATTCAAACGTAAATGTGATTTATAAATTCTACACCTTGAGATGCTCCCCCTTATTTAAAGTCCGAAGTCTGAAGTCTGTTGTCCACCGCAAATGTCCATTAGCTGGCTTTGTCCAGCCAAAAAAAAAAAAAGAAAATTTGTTTGCCCAATCTCGAAAATCCTATTTCCTTTGGTGGGTGGGTGGGGATATTGGGTTGTAGGCGAACTTCCTTCAACGCAAATTTCTTTCAGTATCAAATTTTCTTTTCTTCCTACAATTACTGCATTGCCCTTATATTACTTTACTTTTCCCAAAAACATTTCAATAGAAA